CGATCGAGCTGAGATAAAGAAGGCGAGCGGGAATAAGATCGAATATGGTCAGAAAAAATACTAGAGCTCAAACGAATTGTTGAATTTCGAGAACAAAATTTTCAACCGACCAAAAGTCACCAAAAGGTCCGTCGAGATTTTTCTTGCCAACTAGCTCTCCAGCGCGCCGGAATTACTCTTAAGCTTCCAGCAACTAGCTAAGGGAAGCTCTACGAGTTACGGACAGCACCTCTCAAGATGACTCGACGATTACGAAAAGTTTCGCGGACCTAGCTCGGGCAGCACACCGAGTTCTGAGCTCTGGATTCGGCAGGCGGACGCGCCTGACGTCTTCGAATCGATTCCTGTGAGTACGAGCCTTGTAGCCCCCCTACAGCCCAAGTTAAGTTAAGAAAACTGACAGCACCTCTCAAGATGACTCGAACAACACGAATAGTTTCGCGAACCTAGCTCGGGCAGCAGACCGAGTTCAGACCTCTAGATGGAACAGACGAACGCGCCTGATGATTCGCAATCGATTTCTGTGAGAATGAGCTCTGTAGCTGCCCTACAGCTCGAGTTAAGTACAAAATACCGACACCGCGTATAAAGATGACTCGAAACAGCCGATCCCGCCGCGATGCTTATTTGCAGAAGTATTTACCCGATCGAGCTGAGATAAAGAAGGCGAGCGGGAATAAGATCGAATCTGGTCAGAAAAAATACTAGAGCTCAAACGAATTGTTGAATTTCGAGAACAAAATTTTCAACCGACCAAAAGTCACCAAAAGGTCCGTCGACATTTTTCTTGCCAACTAGCTCTCCAGCGCGCCGGAATTACTGGGCGCCGGCGGTAAACCGTCAACCTTCCTCACCGCCGGGGGACTCGTAGAGCTTCCTGAGCATATATAATGTCGAACAAAATTGCAGAGAACGAATAGTTGTTCAGCCTAAACGATTTCAGACCTCTCGATGCAACAGCCAAACGCCCCTCATGCTTCTGGATCGTTTTCTGTGCGCACGAGCTCCGTAGCTCTCCTACAGCCCGAGTTACGTGCGAAAACCGACAGCACCTCTCAAGATCACTCGAACGATACAAATAGTTTCGCGAATCTAGCTCGAGTATCAGAGTTCAGACATCTGAATGCAACAGGCGGACGCGCCTGATGTCTCCGAACCGATTCCTGTGATTATCAGCCCTGCAGCCCCCTTACAGCCCGAGTTAAGTGCAGAAAATCGACAGCACCTCTGAAGATGACTCGAACAATGCGAAGAGCTTCGCGGACCTAGCTCGGGCAGCAGGCCGAGTTCAGGGCTCTGAATGCGACAGGTGGACGCGACTGATGTCTCTGAATCGATTCCAGTGATTACCAGCCCCGTAGCCCCCTTACAGCTCGAGTTAAGTACAGAAAACGGACAGCACCTCTCAAGATGACTCGACGAATACGAATAGTTTTGCGAACCCAGCTCGGGCAGCACACCGAGTTCCGAGCTCTGGATTCGGCAGGCGGACGCGCCTGATGCCTCCGAATCGATTCCTGTGAGTACGAGCTGTAGCCCCCCTACAGCCCGAGTTAAGTGCAGAAAACTGTCAGCACCTCTCAAGATGACTCCAACAACACGAATAGTTTCGCGAACCTAGCTCGGGCAGCAGAGCGAGTTCAGACCTATAGATGGAACAGACGAACGCGCCTGATGATTCGCAATCGATTTCTGTGAGAATGAGCTCTGTAGCTGCCCTAGAGCTCCAGTTAAGTACAAAATACCGACAACGCGTATCAAGATGACCGAAACAGCCGATCCCGCCGCGATGCTTTTTGGCAGTAAAAGGTACCCGATCGAGCTGAGATCAAGATGGCGAGCGGGGATAAGATCGAATAAAGTAGAAAAAAAACTAGAGCTCAAACGACTTGTTGAATTTCGAGAACAAAATTTTCAACCGGCCAAAAGTCAGCAAAAGGTCCGTCGAGATTTTTCTTGCCAACTAGCTCTCCAGCGCCCCGGAATGACTTAAGCTTCCAGCATTAACTTGCTAAGGGAAGCTCTACGAGTTACTCTTAAGCTTCCAGCAACTAGCTAAGGGAAGCTCTACGAGTTACTAGCTCTCCAGCGCCCCGGAATTACTGGGCGCCGGCGGTAAACCGTCAACCTTTCTTACTGCCGGGGGACTCGTAGAGCTTCCTGAGAACATATAATGTCGAAAAAAATGCATAGAACGTGTAGATTTTCAGCCCAAGCGATTTGAGACCTCGATGCAACAGCCGAACGCCCCCGATGCTTCTGGATTGTCTTCTCTACGAGCTCTGTAGCTCTCCTAGAGCCCGAGTTACGGCGTAAATCGACAGCACCTCTCAAGATGGCTCGAACAATAAGAATAGTTGGCAAACCTAGCTCGAGTATCAGACCGAGTTCAAGCCTCTCAATGCGACAGGCGGACGCGTCTGATGTCTCCGAATCGATTCCTGTGATTACCAGCCCTGCAGCCCCCCTACAGCCTCAGTTAAGTGCAGGAAACCGACAGCACCTCTCAGGATGACTCGAGCAATACAAATAGTTTCGCGGACCTAGTTCGGGCAGCAGACCGAGTTCCGAGCTCTGGATTCGACAGGCTGACGCGGCTGATGACTCTAAATCGATTCCTGTGACTACCAGCACTGTAGCCCCCATACAGCCCGAGTTAAGTACAGAAAACCGACAACATCTCTCAAGATCACTCGAACAATACGATAGTTTCGCGATTAGCAGACCAAGTTCAGAGCTCTGGACTCGACAAACAAACGCGCATGATGTTTATGAATCAGTTTCTGTAACTAACAGCTCTGTAGCGGTCATACAGCTCGAGAAAAGTACAGAAAACCGAGAGCGCCTGTCAAGATGACTCGAATAATACGAACAGATTTGCGGACTTAGCTCAGCTAGCAGACCGAGTTAAGACCTCTGGATGGAACAGACGAACGCGCATGATCATTCTGAATCGATAACCTGTGCTTACCAGCTCTGTAGCTGTCCTCTATCTCGAGTTAAGTTCAAAATACCGACAACGCGTATGAAAATGACTCGAAACGGCCGATCCCGCCAGTGTGCTTTTTGGCAGTAAAAGGTACCCGATCGAGCTGAGGTCAAGATGGAAAGCGGGAATAAGATCGAATATCACGGGAAAAATACTAGAGCTCAAACGAATGGTTGAATTTCGAGAACAAAATTTTCAACCGACAAAAAGTCATCAAAAGGTCCGTCGAGATTTTTCTTGCCAACTAGCTCTCCAGCGCGCCGGAATTACTCTTAAGCTTCCAGCAATGGGAACCGGCAGTAAACCGTCAACCTGGTTACCGCCGGGAACCTCGTAGAGCTCTTTTCTTGCACGGCGATCGTCAGAACACATGAAGAAAGCTTCTCGAGCGAAAAACGAAAAACCCGGAAAATAACGTTTTTCTGTTTTTATCCAACGTCGGTTCCTCCAAGTGTTTTGATAGTAATAATGCAGCTACGGACATGAAAATTTTACTAGCGGACGCGCCATAACCCACTACAGGTGCGAAAAATCTGCTTTCTCAGAATGAATTGTCAAATATCCTTGAATTCGTTGCAAGACCACCCAAAAATTACCCCTTGTCCTTTCTGGCCGGGTCGACCAACTGGGCGCCGGCGGTAAACCGTCAACCTTTCTTACCGCCGGGGGACTCGTAGAGCTTCCTGACCATATATAATGTCGGAAAAAATTGCAGAGAACGAATAGTTTTTCAGCCTAAGCGATTTCAGACCTCTCGATGCAACAGCCAAACGCCCCTCATGTTTCTGGATCGTTTCCTGTCCGCACGAGCTCCGTAGCTCTCCTACAGCCCGAGTTACGTGCGAAAATCGACAGCACCTCTGAAGATCACTCGAACAATATGAATTGTTTGGCAAACCTAGCTCGAGTATCAGGCCGAGTTCAGACCTCTCAATGCAACAGGCGGACGCGCCTGATGTATCCGAATCGATTCCTGTGATTACCAGCCCTGCAGGCCCCTTACAGCCCGAGTTAAGTGCAGAAAACCGAGAGCACCTCTGAAGACGACTCGAACAATACGAATAGTTTCGCAGACCTAGCTCAGGCAGCAGACCGAGTTCAGAGCTATGAATGCGACAGGCGGACGCGACTGATGTCTCCGAATCGATTCCAGTGATTACCAGCCCTGCAGCCCCCTTACAGCTCGAGTTAAAGTGCAGAAAACGGACAGCACCTCTCAAGATGACTCGAAGAATACGAATAGTTCGCGGACCTAGCTTGGGCAGCACACTGAGTTCTGAGCTCTCGATTTGGCAGGCGGACGCGCCTGATGTCTCTAAATTCATCCCTGTGAGCACGAGCCCTGTAGCCCCCATACAGCCCGAGTTAAGTGCAGAAAACTGACAGCACCTGTCAAGATGACTCGAACAATACGAATAGCTTCGCGAACCTAGCTCGGGCAGCAGACCGAATTCAGACCTCTGGATGGAACAGACGAACGCGTCTGATGATTTGCAATCGATTCATGTAAGAATGAGCTCGGTAGCTGCCCTACAGACCGAGTTAAGTACAAAATACCGACAACGCGTATCAAGATGACTCGAAACAGCCGATGCCGCCGCGACGCTTTTTTGCAGAAATATTTACCCGAGCGAGCTGAGATTAAGACAGCGAGCGGGAATAAGATCGAATATGGTGGGAAAAAAAATAGAGCTCAAACGAATTGTTGAACTCCGAGAAAAAATTCAACCGACCAAAAGTCAGCAAAAGGTCCGTCGAGATTTTTCTTGCCAACTAGCTCTCCAGCGCGCCGGAATTACTCTTAAGCTTCCAGCAACTAGCTAAGGGAAGCTCTACGAGTTACTAGCTTCACTCCGGCCCGGAATTCCTCCAGCTCATCGACAACGAAGAGCTCTACGAGGTATAACTTGCTAAGGGAAGCTCTACGAGTTACTCTTAAGCTTCCAGCAATAATTTGCTGAGGCAAAGCTCTACGAGTTACTGGGCGCCGGCGGTAAACCGTCAACCTTTCTTTTTTGCGTCTTTGCTGGGACCGTCTTGGCCACTAAGGCCAGGTCCAACAAAGTATCAGGCGAAACAGAGCCTCTTATTTATCACGCAAGCAGTCAGCTCTTATACCACACAGCGAAGCTGAAGGAATAAAGAGAAACGCATGCCGCAATGACACAATCAAACGCAAAGCACACAAAGATAAAACGACTGAGTCGGTGAACAGCGAAGCTGTTGGAATAAACAAGAACACAGAAAAAGAAGAAACAATGTGTGACTTATCCCTGCGAATGATCAAAGAAGGTCTGCACTACCTGTGGGAGCACAACGCATACGCGCTCCGCCGCTGATAGTTCCGTACCTGTAACAGCGGCGCTCGGTGGCAGACACCAAGCCTCAAGATACACATCCTTGAAAATGATGTCGGTCCGCGAGAAGATATATTTGTTACGCAGACCAATCTGTATCCACACCCACCACAGGCACTTCCGCGGCAAAGCCCTCATCAAAGCTGGCTTTGATAAGGCAAGGATAATGTTACGACGTGAGAGCCAGGAGACCTGGCCAAGAACTGAACATGCACACACTGAATTCTTAGAGCACAAACAAAAGAGACTATGCCATCACAATCAACAATCCAATACAATAAGTACGGAATGAAAGGAAGCACTCGAAGAATACGAATATCTACCACAGAGGCCAAACCTGAGATTTACACCTTCGTTCACAGTCCGTCAACGTCCTACCGTACCTATACACTTCGTCAAACACGATGTTGGCGCCTTTAGAGCTCTTAGCAGGCTTGGCACTGCTATGATATCGTTGGCCTTTGCCTCTGCCTTTGCGGTGCCCTCGTACATCCCCTTTTCCATCAGAACGCTTGGAATCCGGAGGAACAGCTTGGAACTCCTCCTCCGACTGACGCACAGTCCTGGAGACGTCCATCCGGACACGGACAAACGCATCAGAACCCGGATTCGATATCCCATTGAGCGTGACGGGACGATTCAGACACCCCTGGGACGCTCCTGACAAGGCGTGGCTATCAGGATCAGCCTGCACGTTCGGAGAAAACTCCGCTCTCGAGGATGCCTCCAGCTCCTCCTCAGCCTCCACAGTCACTTTCCGAAGAAGAACTCCTGAAGCTCCTCCCTCCATCCCAACGACCATCTCTGTCTGACAGCCGACTTCACAATGAAAGTCCACAACATCCGCACAAGAATTCTCCGAATGTGTCGTAACGGCCGCCTCCTCCTTGGGTAGCACAGTCAGGCAAGCATCATCCGTCTGCACTCCTGAGTCAACAAGGGAACGACAAGAAAGAGTCTCCGAGATAGTCGCAACGGTAGCCTCCACCTCCTCCTCCGCCAAGCGTGCATCAACCGTCTGCACTCCAACATCAACCAGCGATACAGAAGCCTGCACTCCAATACCTACATCAACCAGCGACTCAGAAGCCTGCATACGGCAAGAAAGATTCTCCGAAACAGTCGTAATGTCAGCCTCCTCCTCCAAACTGCGTTTAACAACAGGTGGATCGCGCAACAAGAGATAATCTAGAACCAAATCGGCAGTCGCCCGCTCCAGCCCTGGTGGTGGGAAACACGTAGGTGGCACAAACCATCCAGAGGCAAACGAATAGGTAAATGCACACAGTATCCGTTTTGAACAGCCAGCGCCCGACGCATGATGCGAGCACTTGCACTCCGTACGTGTGGCATAGCGAAAGATTGCAGAGGGGGACTCGTAGAGCTTCCTGACAATACATGATGTCGAAAAAAAATGCAGAGAACGAGTAGTATTTCAGCCCAAGCGATTTCAGACCTCTCGATGCAACAGCCGAACGCCCCCGATGCTTCTGGATTGCCTTGTGTACGAGCTCTGTAGCTCTCCTACAGCCCGAGTTACGTGCGTAAATCGACAGCACCTCTGGAGATGACTCGAACAATACGAATAGTTTGGCAAACCTAGCTCGAGTATCAGACCGAGCTCAGGCCTCTGAATGCGACAGGAGGACGCGTCTGATGTCTCCGAATCGTTTCCTGTGATTACCAGCCCTGCAGCCCCCCTACAGCCCGAGATAAGTCAGAAAACCGACACCATCTCAGGATGACTCGAATAATACGAATAGTTTCACGGACCTAGTTCGGACAGCAGACCGAGTTCCGAGCTCTGGATTCGACAGGCGGACGCGCCTGATGTCTCGGAATCAATTCCTGTGACTACCAGCACTGTAGCCCCTCTACAATCCAAGTAAAGTACAGAAAACGGACAGCACCTCTCAAGATGACTCGAACAATACGAATAGCTTCGCGATTCTAGAGCGGGCAGCAGACCGAGTTCAGCTCTGGATTCAACAGACAAACGCGACTGATGACTCTGAATTCGTGTCTGTAAGTATCAGCTCTGTAGTTGTCATATAGCTCGAGTTAGGTACAGAGAACCGAGAGCGCTTGTCAAGATGACTCGAACAATACGAATAGGTTTGCGGACCTAGCTCGGTTAGGAGACCGATTCCAGACCTCTGGATGTAACAGACGAACGCGCCTGATCATTTTGAATAGATAAGGTGTGCTTACCAGCTCTGTAGCTGTGCTGTATCTCGAGGTAAGTCTAATATACCGAAGCGCGTATCAAGAACTCGAAATGGCCGATCCCGCCTGGACGCTTTTTGGCAGTAAAAGGTACCCGATCGAGCTGAGATCAAGATGGCGAGCGGGAATAAGATCGAATATGGTCAGAAAAAATACTAGAGCTCGAACGAATTGTGGAATTTCGAGAACAAAATTTTCAACCGACCAAAAGTCACCAAAAGGTCCGTCGAGATTTTTCTTGCCAACTAGCTCTCCAGCGCCCCGGAACTGGGAACCGGCGGTACACCGTCAATCAGGCAACCGCCGGACACCTCGTAGGGCTCTTCTCTTGCACAGCGCTTCTCGGAACATGAAGGAAGCTGCGAAACCGAGAGCCGAAAAATTCGAAAAATCACGATTTTTTTGTTTTCATCCAGAGTCGGTTCGTTCAACGGTTTCGATAATAATGCTGCACCTACGGACCTGAATTTAACTGGCAGACGCAGCATAACCCACTCCCTCCCTCCGTCTCCGCCTGCTCAGAGAAAGAGCTTATGAGACGACTCAGAACAAACGCATTTTTTGGTGTCGATGCAAAGTCGGTTCCTCCAAGTGTTTTGATAATAATACTGTCCCTAGAGCGATAAGAAATTTACCAGCAGGTGCCCCATAGCTCACTACAAAAATGAAAATCTCACTTCTGGGAACAAACTTAAAAATTTTGCATAAACTGAAACAAAAACCGACCCTCGGTTACCACATCCTCTCTTTTCGTCGGGCCAGCCAACTGGGCGCCGGCGGTAAACCGTCAACCTTTCTTACCGCCGGGGGACTCGTAGAGCTTCCTGAGCATGCATAATGTCGCAAAAAATTCCAGCGAACGAATCATTTTTGAGCCTAAACGATTTCACACCTCTCGATGCAACAGCCAAACCCCCCTCATGCTTCTGGATCGTTTTCTGTGCGCACGAGCTCCGTAGCTCTCCTCCTAAAGCGCGAGTAACGCGCGAAAATCGACAGCACCTCTCAAGATCACTCGAACAATAGAAATAGGTTCGCAAATCTAGCTCGAGTATCAGACCGAGTTCAGACATCTGAATGCAACAGGCGGACGCGCCTGATGGACGCGACTGATGTCTCTGAATCGATTCCAGTGATTACCAGCCCTGCACCCCCCTTACAGCTCGAGTTAAGTGCAGAAAACCGACAGCACCCCTTAGGATGACTCGAACAATACGAATAGTTTCGCGGACCTAGTTCGGGCAGCAGACCGAGTTCCGAGCTCTGGATTCGACAGGCGGACGCGTCTGATCTCTCCGAATCGATTCCTGTGAGCACGAGCCCTGTAGCCCCCCTACAGCCCGAGTTCAATGCAGAAAACTGTCAGCACCTTTCAAGATCACTCCAACAACACAAATAGTTTCGCGAATCTAGCTCGGGCAGCAGACCGAGTTCAGACCTCTAGATGGAACAGACGAACGCGCCTGAAGATTCGCAATCGACTTCTGTGATGATGAGCTCTGCGGCTGCCCTAGAGCTCGAGTTAAGCACAAAATACCGACAACGCGTATCAAGATGACTCGAAACAGCCGATCCCGCCGCGATGCTTTTTTGCAGTGATATCTACCCGATCGAGCTGAGATCAAGATGGCGAGCGGGAATAATATCGAATATCACGGGAAAAAATACAAGAGCTCAAACGAATTGTTGAATTTCGAGAACAAAATTTTCAACCGACCAAAAGTCAGCAAAAGGTCCGTCGAGATTTTTCTTGCCAACTAGCTCTCCAGCGCGCCGGAATTACTCTCAAGCTTCCAGCAACTTGCTAAGGGAAGCTCTACGAATTACTAGCTCCACCCTGCGCCCGAACTGGCGCCGGCGGTGAACCGTCAACCTGGTCACCGCCGGGAACCTCGCAGAGCTTCTGGCACGCGTAAGAATGCTCAGATCCAAAGCAGACCGCTTCTCAGAGCATTTCTAGAAAAACATCATATTTGTATTTCTCGGTGTCAACGTGACGTCAGTTCCTCCGAATGTTTAGATAGTGAAACTGTCTCGAAAGAGCTGAGATGCTCGCAGGATAAAGTTAAGATAACGATGCTCGGAGTAAAAATCTGCTTTCTTAAAACGAATTGTCAAATATCTTTCAAATCCTGGCAAAACCGACCAAAAGTTATCACATCTTTTTTGGCCGGGTCGACCAACTGGGCGCCGGCGGTAAACCGTCAACCTTTCTTACCGCCGGGGGACTCGTAGAGCTTCCTGACAATATATAATATGGAAAAAATGCAGAGAACGAATAGTTTTCAGCCCAAGCGATTTCAGACCTCTCGATGCAACAGCCGAACGCCCCCGATGCTTCTGGATTTTCTTCTTTACGAGTTCTGTAGCTCTGCTACAGCCCGAGCTCTGTAGCTCTGCTACAGCCCGAGTTACGTGCGTGCATCGACAGCACCTCTCAAGATGACTCTAACAAAACGAACAGTTTGGCAACCCAGCTCGAGTATCAGACCGAGTTCAGACCTCTGAATGCGACAGACGGACGCGTCTGATGTCTGCGAATCGACTTCTGTGATTACCAGCCCTTCAGCCCCCCCTACAGCCCGAGTTAAGTGCAGAAAACCGACAGCACCTCTCATAATGACTCGAACAATAATAGTTTCGCGAACTAGTTCAGGCAGCAGACCGAGTTCCGAGCTCTGCATTCGACAGGCGGACGCGCCTGATGTCTTCGAATCGATTCCAATGACCACCAGCACTGTAGCTCCCCCCCATCCAGCCCGAGTTGAGTGCAGAAAACCGAGAGCACTTCTCAAGATGACTCGAACAATACGAATAGTTTCGCGATGCTAGATCGAGCAGCAGAGCGATTTCAGAGCTCTAGATTCAACAGACAAATGCGACTGATGATTCTGAATCGGTTTCTGTAAATATCACCTCTGTAGTTGTCCTATAGCTCGAGTTAAATACAGAAAACCGAGAGCGTCTGTCAAGATGACCCGAATAATACGAATAGGTTTGCGGACCTAGCTCGGCTAGCAAACCGAGTTCATACCTCTAGATTGAACAGGCGAACGCGCCTGATCATTCTGAATCGATTAGCTGTGCTCACCAGCTCTGTAGTTGTCCTGAAGCTCGAGTTATGTTCAGAAAACCGTCATCGCGTGTCGAGATGACCCGAAACGGCCGATCCCGCCTGCCTGCTTTTTGGCCGTGAAAGGTACCCGATCGAGCTGAGATCAAGATGGCGAGCGGGAATAAAATCGAATATCATGGGAAAAAATACTAGAGCTCAAACGAATTGTTGAATTTCGAGAACGGAATTTTCAAACGACCAAAAGTCACCAAAAGGTCCGTCGAGATTTTTCTTGCCAACTAGCTCTCCAGCGCCCCGGAACTGGCGCCGGCGGTGAACCGTCAACCTGGTCACCGCCGGGAACCTCGTAGAGCTCCTTGCACGCGTAAGAATGCTCAGATTCAAAAGACCGCTTCTCAGAGCATTTCTAGAAAAACATCATATTTGAATTTCTCGGTGTCATCGTGACGTCGGTTCCTCCAAATGTTTGGATAGTAAAACTGTCTCGTAAGAGCTGAGCTGCTCGAAGAATAAAGTTAAGATACTAATGTTCGGAGTTAAAATCTGCTTTCTCAAAATAAATTGTCAAATATCTTTCAAAAAATTGAAAAACCACCCAAAAGTTACCACTTTGTCCTTTCTGGCCGGGTCGACCAATGGCGCCAGCGGTGAACCGTCAACCTGGTCACCGCCGGGAACCTCGTAAAGCTCCTTTCACGCGTAAGAGTGCTCAGAGTCGCAAGAGAGAGCTTCTGGAAGCATTTCTCGAAAAAGGGAAAAATCATGTTTTTCGTGTCGACATGAAGATGGCTCCGCCAAGTGTTTCGATAGTAAAAGTGCGCCTACAGAGCTCATACTAAGACAGAGAGGCCCTCATAGTCGTTTACAGGTGCGAAAAATCTGCTTTCTCAAAATGAACTGGCGCCGGCGGTGAACCGTCAACCTAGTCACCGCCGGGAACCTCGTAGAGCTCCTTACACTGGTAAGAGTGCTGAGAATCGAAGTAGAGTCAAAAAATAAAGATTTTTCGGAAATCTTCATTTTCGATTTTTTCGATGTTCATATTCGCTCAGTCCCAGGAAGTCAACTCTCAAGAAAATGTATCGGCAGAGCTGAGCTGCTGTCAGAGCGGAGTTCATATGCCAATGCTCGGCGTAAAAATCTGCTTTCTCAAAATGAATGGTCAAATATCTTTCAAATCTGCGCAAAACCGACCCAAAGTCACCACTTTGTCCTTTCTGGTCGGGTCGACCAACTGGGCGCCGGCGGTAAACCGTCAACCTTTCTTACCGCCGGGGGACTCGTAGAGCTTCCTGACTATATATAATGTCGGAAAAAAAATAGAGAACGAATAGTTTTTCAGCCCGAGCGATTTCAGACCTCTCGATGCAACAGCCAAACGCCCCCCGATGCTTCTGGATTGTCTTCTGCCCGAGCTCTGTAGCTCTGCTACAGCCCGAGTTACGTGCGTCAATCGACAGCACCTCTCAAGATGACTCGAACAAAACGAATAGTTTGGCAAACCCAGCTCGAGTATCAGACCGAGTTCAGATCTCTGAATGCGACAGGCGGATGCGTCTGATGTCTCCGAATCGATTCCTGTGATTACCCGCCCTGCAGCCCCCCTACAGCCCGAGTTAAGTGCAGAAAGCCGACAGCACCTCTCAGGATGACTCGAACAATACGAACAGTTTCGCGGACCGAGTTCGGGCAGCAGACCGAGTTCCGAGCTCTGGATTCCACAGACGGACGCGTCTGATGTCTCCAAATCGATTGCTGTCACCACCAGCACTCTAGCCCCCCTACAGCGCGAGTTTTGCGCAGAAAACCGACAGCACCTCTCAAGATGACTCGAACAATACAAACAGTTTCGCGATTCTGGATCGGGCAGAAGACCGAATTCAGAGCTCTGGATTCAACAGACAAACGCCACTGACGATTATGAATCGGTTTCTGTAAGCATCAGCCCTGTAGCTGTCCTATATATAGCTCGAGTTA